ATGTACATATACTCTTGTTCTATGAAACGAATCACATAAAAGGACTAAGAGATCATCTACATGGACATATACCCTAGGTTTTATAGAAGATGTTTGAGAGGATAATGTAAGATGAGCAGGGGATCATCTAGATGTACATATTCATTAGTTGAAATGGAACAGATATGAGGGATCGACTCGATGACCAGGAGGTCTTTTAGATGCATACACTCTAGTTATTATAAAATATATATGAGGGGGATTATCTAGATGTAAATATATTCTTTTTTATCATGGAAGATTTATGAGGGGTCACTTAAAATGAGCAGGGGATCATCTAGATGAACATATACACGATTTTTTGATGTACACATACTATATTTATTTGTAAGATGACCAGGGGTCTTTGTGATGTTAATAAAGTCTAGTTATCTGAAACACAGGTGAGGGGATCACGTACTGCCCATATGATCGTCTGTATGTGGAGATGTTTTTGTTCTCAAAAGAACATGATTGAGAAGATCATTTAAAAGGACCAAAATATTGTTTTTGTTCTCATAGAAAATATGAGGGGATCATTTTAACTGACAATTGGATCATCTATATTATCTAAATGTACATTTACTGCAGTTCTTATAGAACATAATGTGTGATCCTAAATAATTACCAAGGTTTTATTTAAATGTACATAGAATCTACTATAGTTCATATGGAACATACATGAGGATATCTGTGAAATAAAAAAACTGTTATTTCACTGTTTGAAACAGTGAAATTATCAATTTGATAATTTTCACTGTTTTGAAGTTAAGACCGTAATGTTGTTTCAGTGAAATACCAGCATGCACAGTACTGGAAACTAACGTATTGACATGGCTTCGTAAATGACGTCATGTTGTTTTATTATTTGGCGCACTTTCATTAAGCATTAGGTCAAAACGTCTTTTTAAACGTTTCTTTACACATAATAAAAAGAAAATTTGTTTAGTTTAGTGTAAGATCGAAATATATTTCACCTCGTGAACAACAAAAGTTCATATTTCATGAGTGGCACAGCCACTCAATAAATATACCTTTTGGTGGTAACTCGGTGAAATATATTCCGATCTTACACTGAACTAAACAAATATCCTCAATATATTAAATAGGAGGAGTAAGCAAATGCACTATTTACAAGTGACATTCACAGGGACACTGATCATATTTCCACTACACTATAGTATAGTTCAATCAGGATGATAACGCATTATCACAAATTCGTGCTTAATTTATAGGCGGGGCTTAATATGTTCAGCGTTTCTATCCCATGATTCAAATTATCGAATAAATATTTTTCAGTATACAATAAATATTTTTAATTATACAATATATATATTCAAATGTAAAACACACATATAGAAAATTATCGCAAACAAATATTTTTTTATGATGAACAAATATTCTACAGGACAGAATAAATATCATGGTATAGAATATAAACTTAGATTTTTACAATATAAATATTTGATATAGACCAAAAATAGATTTATCGAATTTTGCAACGTTTTACATGCCATATGTAGCTTTAATACTAAATTTATTGAACGAGTTGAATAAAATCATATTATGAGAGCCTCTGGCGAGCAAAATATTGTTTTATTCAACAAGTTCAATAGATTTAATAGTGAATCTACACGAATATAATATTCTATTTATCACGGTTTACACTTAAAAAAAGTCATTTTTCATTGACTCTATGTTTTCCCAAACAGTAATTTTATCGCTCAATATTCGGATGCCATGCAGGAATTACATCACGCGGGCGTAGCCCAATTGATAAAAGGAAGCGCGTCCGAAAGACAAACAGTGATTTTATCAAGCGATAAAATCACTGATTTGGATATATTTTTTCGATTTTAACACGACATCAACTAATAAATGCTGTCGTTCCTGATATAAAGCTAAACTGCGCCTGATATGTTTCCGTTATTATTTTCAGCGCGTCAAATTTTTAGTGGTGTCACATGTATAATGATTACGTTGCATGTCAAAATATAGAACGTTAAACAGTAATTTTATTGTACATTCTAACACGACCCGCAATTTTCCCTTAACATTGAAAGACCGAAAGTGTGAAAACATGTTTCAAACACTTTTTTTCAAACGTTTCGAAAATATTAAAAAAAGGGTTGTATTGTTACGTTATGAAAATGGCATTAATGTGTTTTAAACAACATTTATAGAAAACGTTGTTAAGCCATGTATATTATGATAAGACTTCGATGTTGACCGGCAGATTAAGCCTTACAAATAAAACCATTTTCTCGTTGAATAAAGACAAACATTTTTTATTGGATTTAGAGCAATGCTGTGATGACAGAAAGCTCGTTCTGTTGAATATCTTTGATTACCATTAAACTTAATATTCTATTTTTGCAGAAAGAAAGTTGCACATCATGCATAAAGTTAAGATAAGAAAAATGCATGTTATATGTATTATGAAATTAAATTTATATAATGTGATAAAAAGTCATTTCAAATTGTTATTTTTTACTTATACATGTAAAGCCATATTGTTACTTTCCAGATATACGTTTTTATGGATATATTTTGAAAGCTCTTTATTTTCGTAATAAAGTCACATGGCAGGCGGAGTTGCGTATCTTTCAGCAATAAATTACATCAGAAAATAATCATATTTTAGGTGTCATGTTACCTATGGTATATATCAGCAAAGTGGCGCAGTGGAAGCGTGCTGGGCCCATAACCAAGTATCGAAAACTGACTCTGCTAGATTATTTTAGTTTGTTTTCTTCACAGACGTTGGAAAATAGAAACTGATCAAATTTGCAGGCCGAACTGGTATTCAATTTTATGAGGAGTGGAATGTGAGGAATAAAACTGAATGAGATCATATCTAGACAGACCGGCCAGTTATACATTCATATATTTGTTTTATTTTCAATGGAATCTTTAGTTCTTTTCTTGCCATATATGATGCACAGTTATGGAAAAACCACATTCAAATCATTTGAAATGCGTTCCAATGCGACATCTCAATCATTTTACACGGACATAAAACCTGATTGATATTTTTACGGTCTTGTTGTAGGTTAGGTAGGGAATGGCAGTTTTATTCTTAAAATTATCAACGAGTTAGTGGCTATGATTTTACTGTTCAAGTCATGCCAAAATATGAATGTGGTACATGCATCGAAAAAAAGCTTTTTTATTGATCGCAGTTACAGGACAAAACAATATTCACATATCTCCTACATGCATGGAGGGGTTTAAATGACACTTCATATAAAATTTCAACACTATGAGAAGCACACTATATGTCGCGCACATGAACCAGGTCTGTAGGATAAAGGTCAAGGAGGAAATGAATTGTATATTTGTAAAATTAGCCTCCTTAATATTAACAATAAGGCTATGCAATATTAGTGCCCCCTTTGAAAAAAGTGGGGCCCTCTCTTTGTCCTCTCATATAAAAGGGGGAACCCTGTTGAAAAGGGGTAGGGGTCGAATGACCCGTTTTCCTTTCCAAACAGGGTTCCCCCGAGGGCGTGAAATCGGGGCCCCCAGGGTTCGAAAATGTAAACCCAACTTATTTTAAATTTAAATTTTGTCCCGGAATTTTTTAAATTTTTATGTTCATGAAGAATCCCAAACCCTGAAAGCCTTATAAAGACTTTTTAATTTCAATTATTAATTTAAATAAAGAGCTTAATAAGGACTTTTCATGACTTTTAGTGATAAACGCCTAACAAAAGCTTTTTTTAACTCATTAATAGGAGAAATAAAATACCTAATAAAAACTTTGTTACTCCCAGTTACAACTTATTAGGAGAAATTGGTCTTATTTTTAATAAAGAGTTTCAAAAACCTAATAAGGACGACTTCATTAACCTGTTCACATAACCATCCCCCAAAATCATAAATACGATCGATGGTGAAAAGTCACGGTTTCGTTATTGCGACTTTTCACTTCCCGCTTTTGAGTTTTCATCATCAACAATCAACTTTTCACCATCGTGTTTCGTTATTTCGAATTTTGACATCGCTATTTTGTGTTATATTCGTTATTTCGAGTTATATGTGTGCAGTGATGGCCATTCGGCCACCGTAAAAAAAAACAACTTTTATAGCGTTTTTTTTTCTCAGAAACTTCCATTTTAACCGGCTGAAAACATATAATGAAATGGGGAAACAAGTCCAAAATAACCTGATATTATCCCAAATCGATAGAAGTAAGTCTACAACAATACGATTCAAGTTTTAACCCACCTGTAGTAATCTTCCGTCATCATTACAGACAATCTGTCATCACTGACACCGGCAATATTTTAGGTAAACGAAAAGAGAAAAAGAAGAGAAAACTAAAAAACTACAACTCAGGATAGATGTATTTATATTTATTCGTTTTGATTAAGAATTAAAATATCAATTACAATGCTAATATACTTATGTTCACTCTTATGATAATCTATTGGCGTCAGTCATGTGTTTATAAACTTGGCTAAAATACAGATGCAAAGTGTTTTTCATTAACCTTGATCTCATTCAAACCTTTGTTTTGGTTAAATTGGCATTTTTCCGAAAAGGGAGCTAGTTTTATGAAACAAATTTAATGTTTCTCTGGTTAAGATGATGGCACGCAAAGAAACTGAAATTCATTGTTACTTAATGGAAATTAATTAAGTTTAATTATATAATTATAAGAATTTGTTTATGACTGCCTTTAATAGAGAACAACATCCAAAAATATTTATATTTACAACTTGTTTTACACTAGATCATGTCTTTTGCACGAATGAATGTAAATTAAATCAAGGACATGAAAGATTACACAAAATAAGACATTTCAGACTAAGCTCATTTTGTCTATCAATGGGTAAATGTTCAAGACAGCGTGTTTGTCTACTAAAAATACAATTAAATCGAATGTTACTTGATCAACTACATCGTGTTTTGTAAGGCAAAATAGATTTAAATGGACTGGTGTTTGACATTTTTATGATATTTTGAATTTCTGCATTTTACCTTTTCCTATAACAATCATTTGTAACAACAAGAAATGATTTATCACGTGAGACACATGCTCTATACGGACATTCAATATCTATCTTGTGTGATGACAAGATGTGACCAGTCTGGGATATCTGTACAATAGAATTTTTGTCTAAACTACAAACAATGATAGTATCAGAGGGACCAACTGCTACACCACAAGGTTCCTGTATCTGATCATCCTTCACCACGACTTTCGTGTCTGTCTTGATACCATATATGTAGACATAATGTTCGTGTCTGTCTGTTAGCACAAGTGTGTCGCTATTATTGATGTATGTACAACCACTGTCATATCCATAATATGCCTTATTTGGAAAGTTAACACTGAAATCATTCTCATTTCCTGTCAATGTCACAATGCGTGCAGGTCTTTTGTCATATATAGTCCCCACGACAAATTGATTATCATTCTTTAGACTTATAGAATCATATAAAGTTTTCACTTTGCAAGTTCTGTCTGATGTAATTTTATTATATTTACTTATATGCAAAAAATGTACCATATATTCGCTGCCACTTGTTATCGCTACTTCTTCCTCAGATACAGCAACAACAGATTTTGGTGAGTAAAATAACTCATATGATCCTACTTTCTCAAGCTTTTCATTGTAAATTAAACATATTTTGTTTTCATTATCAACAGCTACCAGTCTACCATCGGATAGAAAGTCTATTCCTGTAACATGCGGTTCATTTGTATCATCTCCAGTCTTCTTCAAATCAATAGAAGAAACAGGAGTTAATTTCATCGGCCTATTAACATAATGATGTTGAAATGCAAGTTGTCCCGGAACGTATTCATTAACAGGAAATGGCGGCAACTTTAATGTTTCGTCAAAAAGAAAGGAAACGCTGAAGGTCTCTAAGTTTTCAAATACCTTATTCACGTTTCTGTTTAGGGTAGTGGCATCATTTTCCATTTTCTTTTCTACAATAAATTGTTGCGCCGGACTTCCATTTCTGTAAACGCTATCAATTGTTTCCAATCGCATTGTGACATCAGATAAATAATTTTCTGTTTGTGATTGATTTATTGTAATTTTTGTTTGTGTTTCTTCCTGAAAAGATTTCACTTTTTTAACGATGGAAACTTCCAAATCGTCAAACATTTGAAATACTTTATCTCGCACTTGATTAATTGTTTCTGGAATTTTATTCACGTCTGCATCTAATTTCTCATTTGAAGACAAGACTTGTTTAATTATGCCCTCGGCAATTTCTTTTGTGGCCAACAATTTTTCTTTTACCGGTGAATTTGGAGACATCAGTTTTCCAGCAAGCTTCTGAATTTCTACAACGCTGTCACATTTACGATGACCAACTATAGCGCAAGTACTGCAACAGAGCTGATTTTCATCTTCACAGAAGAATTTTATAATCTTTTTGTGTTGATTACATCGGTCTAATCCTTTCATATCAAACGAGTTTTGTTTTGTTACCGCTTCATTTGAACTCACTAATTTGTGAGGTTTGAGGAAAGGAAGTACATCGTGTACATCTGAACAGTCAGTACACTGAAATTCGTTGCAAGTTAAACAAAACTTATCAGCTACAGTTTGTTTATCCTTATTTAAACATGGTTGACACAAAATGTCCTTGACACAACCATAAACTCCACCTTTCTCTTGTAATGTATCCTCACTTTTCGCCATTTTGTTTATTCTGTTATAGAATTTACATTTTTATTTAATTATCCCGGTCATCATTTAGTGCAACATTTGCAAAGACCGAAAAACGGCAAAATAAAAAAAGCTAAAAAAACAAAACAAACTGATTAAAAAAAGTAAAATATAATTATTATCCTGGTATATATCCATATGCTTTTTGTCGTATGTTTACAGTTCTTTGCTACAATCAATATCGGAATACGGTAGTTAGATTTACACAATTTCTATGCATAACCCGTTTCGAAATTCGATATATTTTGGTTAAGTAAATATAGATTATGATTAAATATGAAATATGTTCGTAGTAGAAATAGTATAGAAATAGTACAAATGTGTTTACATATTGTTTCCATAATGATTAACTTGTAAGAATAAGCACGAATAATATCTTTATGATATAAACCCAGTGCAGATTTTATCAATATTAATTTAGTTTATATACAAACATGAATGCATAAATACATTCATACATGCATGCATACATACATGCCTTGTTATAAAGCTTTAGAACATGATAGACATAATTACCACGATTTAAGACGTAGTACAATATAGATAATATCTATCTAAATTTAACTTCACAAGAACACTCAGAGACAAACTGCGGATAATCAATCAACTCAATTTTACTCTATCAATAAAATGGCCACCACAGCTAAAAATAGTTAAACTTTTAAACGACCCCTCTTTCTCAACCGTTTGGAAGAATCTGGTAAGCTACACAAGACATTTTTTAAAGAAGCCCTTTACTACCACGTATGTGTGCGGTAACCAGCTGATTGTTGCAGTAAAAACGGTTTTAAACCCTTTACTCTTTGGATAAACTTTTTTTCTTTAAAATTTTTAAAATGGGATTACTTTTTATAAAAAAATGTTTACAATTTAAATAACAGTGTTCATGTTAAAAGACAAGCATTTAAATGGATAATGCATATACTTGTGGTAAACAGAAAATATTATACAAAAATACACCCGTTGATTAATTTTTCTATAGAAACTATAGATGTGTGTACATCGATACACTACATTATTGCTATTTGAGACGATACAAGGTCAAATAAATTAAATAATAAATAAATTGCATTGTACTGCTCACGACTGACAACTTTTAAAAAACATGAATTATTTCTATGAACGAGTTGTCTTTCCAAAAACCAAATAAGATCAGTTTGTTCATGTATTAATAATATTTACATCGGTTAAATTTACGCTCTCTTCAGAAAAATATGACCCCAGTCACATTAGAGCAACAGTGGACTTTCAAGATTTATATTTCTTTATGAATATAGATTATTAGTTTATATTAAATATAGATCTGATAATTACTAATTACCTTCAAATGTAATAAAGTGAACTCACAGAAATGCAATTAAATGCTTTTAATAAAAAAAACAAGCAATTAACCGATATAATATTATATCAGACATTTTACTATCATACGATTAATGTTCTCATGATTTAAGGAATGCACATGATTATGACTCATTCAAACTAAATTCCCATAGATAGAATATTAATGACATAATAAGTTCTGGAAAACAACTATTTACATTAATGATAAAGTCAAATTTCAGGCGGAGTTGGGTACCTACCAGTAATGTATTGTGTCAGAAAACAGTCATATTGAAAGTGTTGTGCTTTACTTGTGGTATCATAACAGCAGAATATAACCATGCTGTGCCCACAACCCAGAGGTCTGAGGATCGCAACCTCGCTCTACCAGACTATTTTAGTTTGTTTTCTGCATAGGTTGTTAGAAAATAGAAATTCATCAATATACACATATATCATCACATTTGCAGGCCAAACTAGAATTCATGTCCAGAGGGATTCTAATGTGAGGAATAAAAATTCATGAGGTTATATATAATACTGCATCTGAATTGACCGGGCAGTTATAGATACACATATTTTCTTTATTTCAAAAGGAATAGTTATTTCTTTTATCTAGTCCAATTCTTGCTATTACATATGGAAGAACAAGGACACCACGACTTTCCCCTGAAGGGAGTTGAACCCATATAGCCGGCTAAGATGACTATTTTGACTCGTTTAATCAATAAAAGTTGTGAATATGACAACTTTTAACAACACTGCACCTTAGCACTATTGGATCGTATAAGAAGTGGAATCCTGTGATTAATGTATGTGATCGCATGATCACTTTCCTGCTAATATGTCCTCGATGCGTGTATGTGGTCGCATAGTCGAAAATCTAGTCATTATAACTTTGTAACTCTTAATAAATAATTAAGAAGCCGACATAGAACTTCATTAACTTGTTCGCATAACTATCCCCAAAAATTACAAATACGTACAATTATGAAAAGTCATGGTTTTGTTATTGCGACTTTGCACTATCGTACTTTTTACTTTTCATCAGGTTACATTATTTCGAATTTTCAACGTCGTGTTTTCGTTATGTAGAGTTTTATCCGGATACCGTAAAACACAACCATTTGCACGGATTTTGCTTGCTGCCATTTTTAACCGGCTCAAAACATTTTGTGAAACGGGAAAACGAGTCCAAAATGATCTGATAGTATCCCCAGTCAAACATAGATAAATAAATAAAAATAAATAAACAAATAAAATAAAACTTAAACAATACAACTCGGTATATATATTTGTCTTGATTACGCATAACAAGAGCTTGATAAAAGATCAATTACAATGCTAATGTCTTTATGTGCACTCTAATAATAATATTTACATTATGGCATAGCTTATCACAGGACAGTCAAATGATTAAAAACTTGACTGAAAAAAGGTGCAAAATGTTTTTATCAACTTTGATCTTATAAAATACATGTATTTGTTTTAAATCAAATTGGCATTTTTCCAAACGACAGCTAGTGTAATGACACAAATGTAATATTGCTCTGGTTTAGATAGTCTTAGTATGTGACAGGTATTGTTACTAAACGAATTAAATTCAATTATATCATAACATATATTAGTTTATGATTGACTTTGAAAGATACATCATTCGAACAAAATATTAACTATATTTACAACTAATTTTACACTAGATCATGTCTGTTGAACGTTATGAATGCAAATTAAAGAAAAGACATAAAAGATGACTTAAAACAAGATATTTCAGGCTAAGTTCACCTTGTTAATCAGTTAGCAATGCCAACAATACAATACTGCTTGTATTGGCTCCTTTTTTGAAATTTTTGATACTGAATTGTGCATGCGTACAATATATATCCGAAATGTTTACACTGTAAACGTCATTACAAAATTAAAACGATTCTTTCACTAAAGGAGTTTATATCAATTAATTCATTACGTGAAGTAAATAAATCTACATTGGCTGAGGTTTGACTTTATAAGTTACTTTGAATCTCTGCATTTTCATGTTTCCAAACCAATTATTTGCAACAACAAGAAATGATTTATCACGTGAGACACATGCTCTAAACGGCAAATCCATATCTGTCTTGAACGATGATAAAAAAATTTCCTGTCTGTGATATCTGTACAATGAAGTTTGTTCCATTACAACAAACCAGAATAGTATAATAGGGACACACTGCTACAAGCTTTTTTAGTCAAGGCACTTCTTACCTTGACCTTTGACCTAGTGACCTCGACATCTATAGGGGTTATGTACTGGTCGTAACCAACCTCAATAACCATAGCATTCTTAAGCAATTGAGCGGAAAAAAACTTTTGAACTTTAGGCCCCTGTGACCGTGACCTTTGATCCAGTGACCTCAAAATCCAAAGGGGTCACTGAATGGTCATGACAAACCTCTATGCCAAATATGAAGACTGCGGGTCAAAGAATTCTAAGGTTATTGGGTGGACAAGCTTTTTGAAGTCAATGTCCCTTTGACCTTGGACCAAACGACCTCAATAACAAAAGGGATCATCTTATGGTCATTAACAACGCCCATGCCAAATATGAAGACTGTTGTTTAAAGGAATCTTAGGTTATTTGGCGCAATACCTTTTTTAGACAAGGCGCTTCTGCCCTTTACCTTTGATCTGGTGACCTTAAAATCAATAGGGGTCATCCACTAATCATGACCAATCTCAATCCCAGATATGAAGACTGTGTGTCAAAGGATTCTGAAGTTATTGGGCGGACAAGGAAAAACTGTGCCGGGGTATAACAAACAGTACTACGAGTGTTGTGTGTGCTTTATTATGGAAAATTTCTCCCCACGACGACAAATTAGCGGTTTTTCGACCAGGAAAATGTTCCCAAGTATCTAGCTTTGAATGTTGAAATAAAAATATTTCAGTCAAATCATTTTTTCTGGATGCATGTATCTTCACTGTCATTGGTTTTTATCATATATTTTGATATAACATAATGTGTTACTTTTGAAAGTGAAATATGATTGTTAAAATATGATAATTTTCAAACAAAATATTTGGACAAAATTTATAACTAAGGTATTGTGTAATATAAACTTAGTAAGTTCTAACGTAAAATGAACTGTTCACTAGAAAATATATTGAGGTCTAAGGGCAGCGTTAATGCTTTGTGGGAGGAAGTATGATAAAACAGAAGTTAAATATCTAAGCAATTGAACTAGAAAGTTAAAGAAGTATCCTTTACGTTAATTTAGAACTATCCATCACATTTGATTCTATAATGGCAAGAACTATATCCTACACAATTTATTTTAGAACTTTCCTTTACATCTAAGAATGGCCTATGAAATTCCCAAAATTTTAGATGCTTAACGCATGAAAAAACAGCACTGGCTGTAAAATGATTTGTCCTAGATGTACCTAATGTAAACAAAGAAAGTGGTATTTTTTCATAAAATAAACTTTCAATCGAATTTACTAATGGCCAACTGGCCAAAAAGCGAAATATTGTTCAGCTATTTGGCCAATTGGAACCGTTTCTGAAACTGTAACACTACATTAAAATATGAAACATTTTAGAAATAATAGTAATAGCAATTTTGGTGTAGCATAGCATAAGAAAATGGTACAGTTTTGCAAATAGTCCTAAG